GATTAGTGGAATATAGAGACAAATATCCAGAATGCTTACAGAAGCAGGAGGGCTGCAAGTTCCAGGTAGCTAGGGTTACACAGTGAGGCACTGTCTCAAAAAACCAACCAACCAACTCACCCAACAAAACCCTCTGAAGGTAAGGCACAGGCCAGCATGTTAGTTTACCTCAGTGCTGGACATTGAACCTAGGTCCTCATCTGTGCTAAATTTGGGCTCTGCCTCTGAACTATACTCCCCCCCCCCACCTCAAAAGCCATGTTCACAGTTAGGTGAACATGGTACAGTGGTACACGGCTAAGGAATCACTCCAATGTAAATCTAGCCTGATCTACAGTTATCCCTGTCTTAAAAAGTCAAAGCAAAGAACCCTTCGACTTTACTAAGTAGTTACATGTAACTCACCCCTCTATGCATAATAGCATGGCGACACAAGGAGGTCAGTGAGGACAAGCAGCTGATCGTCAGTGAACTGCTGCTTGTGTTCTTGCCAGTTGTCATGGTGGGTCCTTCGGAAATTGGACAAAGTCTTCTTTACAGTCATCTGTAATCAACCCATGCACATTTTAACTAAGAACTAAGAGTTAAGTACCAGTTACCTTCAGCTGCATTAGAATCCATCCAGATCTCAGCTCTTACATAGTGCAAATGCTACAGTGTCAGAAAACGAAGTCAGTTTTTTGTCTCCACTAATGTTCTATAAAAATCACTAGCTTTACTTCAGGACAAAGCACTGGAATGTACTGACATAATGCTAGACAAGTTTCCACACATATTGTATTTACAAAGGTGACCTGTTTAGCTTGGGAACATGGGTGTTCATGATTAGATTATATAATAACTAGTTCTAGTTTAACATTAGCCCTCAGTGAGATGAGAGACTTTGTAGATATAAAATGTCAGAATAACAGTAACATGAACCCTAACTTTCTAACTATTGCTAACAGTGCTCTTTATATTGGGTTAGAAAGGATAGAAGCTACAGAATTTAATTTTATTTGTTATTCATGGGAGAAATGTCTTTGCAGGGCTTTAATAATTATAGGGTAAATGTGACCCTATCAGAGACAGTAGCTTGTTTTTTGTTTTGTTTTTAGGTTTTTCAAGATAGGGTTTCTCTGTGTAGTCCTGGCTCTCCAGGAATTTGCTCTGCAGACTAGGTTGTCCTTAAACTTACAGAGATCTGTCTGCCTCTACCTCCAGAGTGCTGGGATTAAAGGTGAGAGCCACCACCATCCAGCTGAGGCAGTAACTTTACAGAGCAGTAAATCTCAAAGTGTGCAGGAAAGTATTTATCAAGTGACACAAATAAACTAGCAGGGAAGAATAATACTTTGGGATGTACGTTACTCTGGTAAACTGTCATATGCTGTTTGAGTTCTCTAAGAAGCTGGATCTGGAAGTGGAATTGGCCCCGAGCATGTGTATGCTGTTTTCTCTTAGGCTCCCTATCTGGGAATGGTTTAGCCTCGTTAACTCTGTGGCAGAAGGAAAGAACAAATGAGCTCAAGAGTAAAACCAAGTTCGAGGGCAGGCAGCAGCAAACCACTTCCAGCAGAGGTTGTTACTGTTTATCCCATGATGTAAAAGCACCTGCAGTGGGAAAATTGCCAAGTTCAGCCATGGAAGTTCAACTCAACTGTGAACTCTAGCTATTTTCTCAGTTTCTCAGGGTTATTTTCCTGTTGTAAGCACCTGATTTGACTATGTTATCTTTAATGCTATTTGTTCTTTTACCTGGAAGCCTCACCAGCGGACACACTCTGCTTTGCCTAAGACTCTCTTTACTAGGAACTCCAGCTGGCTGCCTTAAGGGTAGTTCCCCAGTTGATTTCTGCTAGATGGGTTTAGTCTCCAATTTGATGGTATTTTGTTGTCTGTCTGTTTGGTACTTGATATTTATTATTCTTTTACTTTGGCTTGCTGTGTGCTTAAACTCACTTGTACAAAACTGAAAATACAGCTCTAATAGATTATCCTCTGGACCATACATAACATACCTCTATAGGCTGAGGATCATTCAAATGTGCACTGAGATTCATAAGGAGTTGGGGCATCCAGGTGGGAACATCATAAGGACTAGAGAGAACGCATGCACCAAGTCCGAGCACACCAGCATGTCGTTTGACCAACTCTGCAATGAAAAAAACATACACATCCTTTATAGGGAAATACATTTCCATTCATTCTATATGTGCTTTCATTGTGCATTTCCCCCATTTAATAGAAATTTACAAATACATACAAAAAAACAAAACAAAACAAGACATGATTTCTGGAGCTGAACTAGAAAAATGCAAGATTTTGTTTGATTGTTTTTTGAGACAGGGTTTCTCTGTAGCTTTGGAACACACTCTGTGGACCAGGCTGGCATCGAACTCAAAGATCCACATGCCTCTGCCTTCCCAGTGCTGGGATTAAAGGTGTGAGTCACCACTGCCTGGTTAAACTGCAAGAATTTTAAAGACATTCTATAGCTGTCCCTCAGTGACAGTAAAATTGTTTCTAGTCAGGAATGGGTCATATTGTTAAAAACCAACATAGCTCATTCATATTCTAAGTAATTCCTAATCCAAAAACCATCTCCCAGATTAGGTAATATTTTCTCTATGTGACTGTCCCCACACAAAATGAACCACCATGCATGACAAACACATTTCTTAAAACAGAACTGCAACACATGTCTACCTTAAGGAGTCTGTTCCTTCCTCAGTGGTGTAAGTTCAAGTGTTTTCAAAGACCCTTTGTCCCTGTTTTCTTTGTTGCTTTCCCCTCTTCCCTACCAGTGGCACTGGTATCGATCAAGCATAGGGCCTCACAGGAGCTAAGCACCCACCACCCTATGACTGCCATACCTAAATCTGTTTCCAACCTTTTGGTAGTAACTGGTATTGACCTCAGGACACGATGCATATTAGCCAAGAACTTATTACATTTAGCCATATTTCTAGTTCCCCTCAGAGTTTCTCAGTAAAATTAATATACATTCTTTTGTAAATATATCCTAGGCATATCAATGAACAGAAGGAGAAGGAAGGGAAAATGAAATTTTTGAGTAGTAAAAATTATAAACAATGCCATTTAGTAAAATAAAGACTTAAAACCCTTTATTATCAAAGAGAACTAGAATGTTGAGATCTGCTTGTCTCCACTGCCCCGTGCTGCAATTATGGGCCTCCACACCTGGCTTTTTATGTAGCTGCTGGGAATCAAACTCAGGGCCTTAGGCTTGTAGGGAAAGCACTTTACCAGCTATTTTCCTAGCCCATCCCCACTTTTCATTAAAAAAAAAAAACAAAAAAGCTTTATTTTGTGTGTATTCTCGCACATCTGCACAAGCACACACCCAAGTGCCATGGTATGCAAGTGAGGTCACAGGAAACTTGTGGCAGTAGGTCTCCTCTTCCATCATGGATCCCAGAGTTCAAACTCATGTCCCAACCATGATGACAAATGTTTTCTCTTTTAGTGCTCTAACAAGTCTTAAATTCTAAACACAAAATATCCAATTATGGATCTGTCTTTATGTACTTATGTACGAACTGTCTCATTAAAAAGTTACTGTATGCAATAGTGGACAAGTTCCTTTGTACATACAATTTTAGCTTTTTACTCCATGCCCTGTCTTCTTCATGCCAATCTCTAACAAGTAGGGAAAATTGCTCCCAGCATTTAGCCAAGACCTGAGCACAAACAAGTACTTCAAATGTTTAAGCAAGTCTGCTTAATTCACCAAAGATATGAGGATTTGTAACATTACCTGCAGAAGGAATGGTATCTCCCACAGAACCAGGGTCTCGCTTTCTTTTCTTGGGTAGTTTTGTTTTGCAAAGTTGCTCAAAATGAATCTGCATGCCACTGTCCATGGTAAGGAAGTTACACTGTAGCAGACCACTTAGAGTAGTAGCAGCCATTTCTCTAACCTGGAGAGAGAATCATTTCTGTTAGAACTGAGATCCTATGTGTGAAGTGATAAAGGACTGAGTGACATGGCAAAGCTTAGTGGAAGCTTTCCTAGAAATGTATGAAAATTTTACTTTTTCATGCCAGACACCACCAGATTCCCCAGGATTCTGTGGCCTCAAAACGGATAAAAGCTATATCAGGGTTACAGAAGTATTACTATTATACATAAAATAAAATTTCTTCACAAATTAACAAATATAAACAAAAAAACCAAAGTTTCGCTCTGTATTCCTTGAGAGGTTCTTTGTACTGTCATTTGGTTGCCCTGTTTTCTATAAATATATTATACTGGGACTGAATTCAAGATTTGACTTTCACAGTTTTTTTCCTTTGTTAATAAAATATCCAGGACAGAACTCTAGAGCAAAGTGAACAGCATCCATGTTCTCTACAAGCACAGCAAACCCTGTGCTGAGGCCTGAAGCAGGCCATTCATAACCATCCAGTCATCTTCACAAAAGCTGCACAGCCTTGAGAGGCTGATCCATGCAATCAACTCTGTAAGAGAGATTCAACACACACTCATTTCTTGTCTCTAGACAAGGTTTTTGATACAAAGTGAGTAAGACAGAAATCTATGTGCAACCTGGGCCCTAGTGTTTTCCCCCTTCCTGTGTTGGTTTGAAGCAGGGTTTCACACAGCTCAAGCTGGCCTCCTGCCAGGGTGACAGGTGTGTGCTACCACACCTGTTTCCTTCATTCTTTGTTCAAAATACCACCAAACTAAGACTGTTTAGACAAATGCCAGGTCGATTCATTACATGCTCTAAAATTTATTCTCTCACTGTGTGTATGGGGGGGGCAATTGCTCATGTTTATGACACCAGAGAATGTTGGGTTTCCTACTCTATCACTCTTTTGATATTAGGGGTCTCTTAATGAACCTGGAAGAAGGCTGGTGACCATCAAAGCCCAGTGATATTGTCTCTGTCCTGGAGTTTCAGGTGTGTGTGACTACATGCCTAGCTTATTATGTAGGTGCGAACCCAAGCCTTCATGTATGTTGCCCACTAAATGGTCTTATATCTTCCTAGGCACAACTATGTTTGTTTATGATATGGGAGAAAGAAGAATTATATTCTAATAAACAAATGTTCTTGAAAACGTTTCTACGCTACAGCACGTGTGCAGTGGACAGAAGGTAATGCTTAGGAGTCAGTTCTTTCCTAATGTGGGTTCGAGGGTTAAACAAACGATGTCAGGCTTGGCAGTAAGTTCCTGTATCTGGTAAGCCACCTCCTGGTCCATGACAATTTTTATTTTTTTATTTATTATTTTCTTTTAGAAAGGGTCTCACTATGTAGTTCTGACTGGACTTGAATTTATAGAGATTCGCCTGCTTCTGCCTCCTAAGTGCTGGGATTAAAGGCATACACCATGATGCCCCACTCCTTGACAGTAAATTTTAATGACAAAGCATTGCTACAGATTGGGTCTTAAATGTCCCTCTAACGTCCATGTGTCAATGTGATGCCACCAGGAAGTGACAGAACCTAAGGCTTTGAATACATGCTCTCAGAGGGGACAGTGGGGAAAGTCTCTTTCCTATCTTTCCTACGTTCTGGACAGGAGATGAATGGTTTTGCACCACCACACATTCCTACCATGGGCTTTTCCATTCTTTTCTAATGAGACAGAAAGGAAGTAGATCTGGAACTGGAATGAGTAGAGGAAGGGAAACCACAATCAGGATATATTGAATGAGGAAATAATCTATTTTCAATAAAAAGGGAAAAAAAGAGTAATTACAAGCCCTCATTTCATAGGCAAGAAAGCGTAGGGTAACAAGTGATACATCATCAACTGGGAGAAGGGACATCAAGAAATTGTCCAGTAGTTTTTATCTGACTAATTACACAGATAGTTATACTAAAAAAGTTTAAATAAAACACATCTCATGAATTGTACTCTTTGGCCAAGGCTGATTTTGAACTTAGTAAAATGCCTCAGTTAACAGAATTTCCATTTGTTCTAATTTAAATTTTACCTCTAACTGCTCATCCTCCAAAAGGCATATGATCAGCCATCTGATGTCTTTAACCGCATCTTCATTATTTAGGAAAATAAAGAGATTATAAAATACCATGGTCTGGAGGTAGGTCAGCACTGTATATCTTGCATGCCAAGAACTGCTTCTTGCTGTCTGTGAATGAGAAATGTGTATATATGATAACAGAACTGACAAAGAAATGAAATGACAATGATATTACATACAAGTAATACAATATTTTAACTTGATTCTACTTTCATAGGTATAGTTGCATTAATTTAATCTTCCATTTCCTTCTAAGCAAAGAGAAGTATGGCCAAGTTCCCAATGCAGTTATTCAGAATGTTTGACTGTCCAGTGGTGGAAAAGTTAAAGACACAGGTGAAAGTCAAAATAATCTCTTGGGAGAGAAATATTCATAATTAAGATAATTAACTCCTCCAAGTGCCACATATTACTCTATTTTACTTTCAATAGCAGCAGGTAAGGATTGAGAAGCAAACAAGAGTCTGAACTACTAGTTAGTGTCAGATATGGATTCCTTAAATCCAAACAAAAGTAGTTGGTTATTTCCGTAACATTTATGCCATTATTACAACAGTATACCTTTTAGACAGATATTGTAGGTTACAGGGTTTGTTTCTGGGTGATATTGATGACTACTTTCCTCCTTTGGTAGCATGCAGAATATCTTCCAATATTATGAACACTAGTCAGTAATGTTGAAACTTCTAGTTACGAAGCAGGTCTACCTCTCAGTTTTGCTCACAGAAGTTAGGTGGTGTCTTCAGCTATCTATGAAACCCCCTTGGCTAACAACTCATAAGCTGTTTTCCATTCTTGGCAATGGAGGTTTTACTTGGTTGCACATCTAGTTGGGGGAATTGCACCATTTATATTGCTTATGTATGTGCAGAAATTTTAGAAAGCTTCTATAGTAGGTTTCCATATGGCTTTTCTCTTTCTTTTTATTTTTTCGAGACAGGGTTTTCTCTGTAGCTTCGGAGTCTCTCCTAGAACTCACTCTGTAGACCAGGCTGACCTTGAGGAACTCACAGAGATCCACCTGCTTCTGCTTCCCGAGTGCTGGGATTAAAGACATATGCCACACTGCCTGGCTCATATGGCTTTCAAAAGGCCTTCAGTTGTCCCTTCCCATATTCCCTCTTTTACTTTGTCCTCCCATCCCCTCTTCATTTAATCCTTTAACCTTTACAGCATTATGTTCTATTTCTCCTTACTTGGAAGATCTCCTGCCTAGTCCCTTACTAGGTACCTAAACTCAAGAAACTGAAACTACATAGGCATAGGCCCTAAGGGAAATCCTACTACTATTGCTCACTAAAGCAATGGCAATAAAGTGACTTCTAATGAGAGACAGCTCTACCCACAGATCTATGCATTGCTCAATCCTCATCAGAGAAGCTTCTTGCAGTGGATAGTAATTAACAGACACTGGACACTGTGCAGAGAGTGAGAGACTTTAGAGCACCCCGTCCTAAATGGGATATCTTTATCAAACCCCTGTCCCAAAGGCTCAGGGATCTATGCAAAAGAGGAGATACAAAAAATTGTTAAGAGCCAAAGGTGGTAGGTGATTCCAAGGAAAGAGCTGTCTTCCAGAAACCATAGGACTGATAAACATACGAAAACTGTTGTGACAGCATGCCCAGGACCTTCACATGTTCAAACCAGATAATGTTCCAGCACTGAGAAGGAGGTGTAGACACATAGTCTCTCACCCTAACCAAGAATCTATCTGGAGTTGATACCTGCTGAGAAAATTAGTTTTCCCTATCACAGTGTAAGATACCTTGTTTTTTTGGTAGACTTTTGTTTCTTTTTGTTTGTTTTGATATTTCTTATCTTATAGTTTTGTTTGTTATGATATTTCATTTTTGTTTTGAGAGAGGGATGTGAAATTGGGTGGGGAGAATATAGGAAGAATGTGAGGAAGGGAGTGAAAAAAACAACAATAAATGATTAACCCAGAGCATATTTATATGTATTTGGATACACGCACGCACGCACGCACGCATTCGTATCATAATTTGAAAGACAAAGCAAGGAGGGGTATATGGGAGAGATTTCTGGGATAAAAGGGAAAAGGAAAATGATGTAATTATAATTTTAAAAAAATAGCTGGGCGGTGGTGGCACACGCCTTTAATCCCAGCACTTGGGAGACAGACGCAGGCGGATCTCTGTGAGTTCGAGGCTAGACTAGACCGACAGCCTCCAAAACAATACAGAGAAACCCTGTCTCGTAAAAACCAAAAAATAAAATAAAACAAGTTTTAAAAATACTAACTAGCTTTAGCATTTAACACAAAATGAAACAGATTTTTCAAAGGGAAGAGACAACATTCTTTTTCAATGCAATAGCATTCTAGGCAGTGAGGTTCATGACAATTGGAGTCACATTTATTGCTTTATTCCTCGTCATAGAAAAAGGCACACGGTACTTAAATATTTGAAGAAGAGTGAGAATGAGAGAGTAAGGAGAGAGAGGAAAAATGACAGTAAAAATGAACAAGAAGGGCATAAAGGCAAGAAGCATACAGGTGAAGGATTAAAGAGGCGCCTTGTGATCAGCTGGAAAAAATGGTCCAAACTTTTTGAGAAAACTGAAGGGTGGAAAGATTAAATGAGTCTCTGAAAGTCATACAAGTGAGTACTGGAATAACATTCCAGTTCAGGTCTGTCTGCCTCCAAACCAAAGATCTTCAGAATCAGCTGAGAGCAAAGAGGTTCAGAAGGAGATGCTGATGCAGTTGTGCTGACAGACAGTTATTGTCTGTCTACTGATCTGCCTTGCAGAAGAAATTTTTACGCCTGCCCCCAGAAGTATACTATACATTGGTTCTTGAAGAAAACAAACAACCACAAAAATCAAGCATTGTGTATTTTACAGTTCACTGTGAAACCCTCAAAATGGCAAAACAATGCTGGACAGAGGATGTAAATATTGCAGCCACATACTTACTTGGTTTAGCACCTGAAGTACCAAAGGCACTTGATGAGGGTAGAGCAACCCCTGAGACATTAGTGATAAACAGAGTTTTGCATCTCTTTTCAGTTCATCATAGCTATTGTCATTTTCTACTGGGGCGATCTAGAGAACAAAGCAAAACAAACTGAACAGTGAATGATCACCAATAAGTACAGGCACCATACATGACAGAAATCCCAGCACCCAGGAGGACGAGGCAGGAAAATATCAAATTTGAGGCCAGCCAGGGCTAAGCAGTCAATCTGAAGACCAATTTCTGACTACAGAAAGACCCTGTCTCAAAATAAAAACTTCAAACAAAATTACATTTTTACTTTTAACAACTTCACTGGGAATTGTTGTAAACATATATGAAAATACAATGAGTACCTTATATATCAATCACTTCTTAAACAATGGCAAATTCATGGATAATCTGGTTTAATTTTTGCTTCCTGCTGTCCCCTTTTATCAACTAAATTACCTGAAGCAAGCTTCATAAATATTCCAATATGTTATTTTTTAAATACAATCTAGAATGACATCACCATACTTGAAACATCAGTTACAACATAAAATACTCAATAGTAGCTAGACTTTGGCTTAGAACTCAGAAGGAAAAGTAGGCAAATCTCTGTGAGTTTGAGGAAAGTCTGGTCTAATACACAGTGAGTTCTAGGTGTACTAGGGGTACATGATGAGACCCTGTCTCAAAACAAAGCAAAAGAACCACAAAAACTCCATAGTATTCAAACTTCCCCCACTGCAGCACGGGCATGTTGTTACAACAGATTTCTGAATCACTAAAAATCATAATAATTACATGATGCCTTTAGTATTAAGCTTTGTTTCTAAATATCTGAAAATTTTCACATTTGAACAGAGAAACTGAAATTTTATTTAGTAATTTCCTCAGTCATGGTCTCCCGATTGTATCCATGCGATAATATGTTCTGTACCCTGGCCATTTGATCTAGGTTTCATTTTATTGATAGGTGATATTGGGCACAACATAAGAATTGTTACGTGTTTCCTTCACTGTATTTTTTTCCTTATGCAATAATCCACTATAAAAAAGAAGTTTAAAACACGGTTCACTGCTACTTAGAATATTTTATATATGAAAAGCTTTCCCTTGTTCAGAATAGTGAATTCCTTCC